GTATTAATCTTCATTAAAATGGTATCTGACCCCCCCCGTGTCTAGTTGTTTCTTTGGGATTTGGAGGATTTTTTTCCCCTATGGATCTCTCCAACCCATGTACCATATAAAAATATCAACATCAACAGAGAAATCCTATCTCAAAAACCCATATATATATGTGTGTGTGTGTGTGTGTGTGTGTGTGTGTGTGTGTGTGTGTGTGTATACGCATATATATGTGTGTGTGTGTGTGCTTATATATGTGTAAATATATATATCAACATCAAATTCGATTTCAGCACTTTATGGCCTGCTCATCAGCTCCTAGGCTCCACCTGCAAAGCTGAGAGAGGAGAGGTTTCCCTTCGCTTCCTACAAAATCAAGCAGGACATGAGGGAAGCTCTGTGTGTCACCTCTCAAGAAAGGACCAGTGTTACTGGCACTGTGCAATCTGATAACCCCATAGTGTCCCCTTGCAGGAGATGTTTAGCTACATCATGAGATGCGGCAGCATACCGTACAACCTCAGAGAGAGGGAGTCACTTTGAGGGGAGCTCTACTTTGGGCCTTGAAGCCTGTATATCTTACATGACCACAATTGGCGCAACAATTTAGAAAAGTTATTAGGAAATATAATGATCTGAAGTAAACTTGACCATAAGCATATACAAAGAGTTAAGAATACAATTAGAAAACCATCGTGGGGGCGTGCAATGGGATGAGGAAGCAGACTTGAGCCAAAAGCAGAAGCAAAACCAAGTGTACAGAGGGGAAAGCAGAAAGCCATCGTAACGTCTACTGCTGCTCCCATGATAGAATAGAAATGACTCACACTGTGTTTTTCACATTTGGGTCACAATGCATATTTTAGCTTGTATATTCCTGAAAGTGAATTAACTTTTGGATAACCACGCAGAAAGGGCTCAAAGGACGAAGCTAGGTCTCTAGGATCCTACATCATTCTTAGATGCTAAAGACTGAAGGAAGTGGTTCTCAATCTTCCTCACGCTGCGACTCTTTAATACAGTTCCTCATACTGTGGTAACCTCTGACCATAACATTATTTTCGTTACTACTTTATAACTGTAACTTTGCTACTGTTATGAATCATAAAGTAAATATCAGTGTTTCCTGATGGTCTCAGTTGATCCCTGTGAAAGGCTGTTTGCCCCCCCCCAAGGGGTCGCGAACCACGGGTTGAGAACCACTGACTGAGAAGCACAGAAGTGACCATAAGACCTCACCAGACATGAAAAGGATCGGTTCTCTGGAGGCATCCAGTAAGTGACTACTGACCATAAAAGATGAATTCCATGGAGACCTCAGCAGAATAATAATATATATGATCCTTTATGTGCATCCATGTTATAGTTCACATAAGGACACCAGAAATTTATGAAAACTCATGGCTTCTACAGAGCTGTCTCCCTACTGATCTGGTAAGTGGTCAGTAGTATTAAGTGTTCCCAATGTCTTTTCTCAGCTTATCCCTTTCTCTCGGGAAGAAATGGTTCTCAGTGTGGATCACGGTTGTTCCATCTCCTCCTGGCCACCACGCCCATCATGGCACTATGAGTAGATTGGCATTAGAACGTGATAGGCCCAGCCCCATCTCCCTCCTCCAGCGAGCCCTTTCTAGTTTTTGTTTGCCAAGAAGAAGCAATACCATCTGGAGGAAGAAGGAGAGAGCAGACTGTCAACTCACAGCGGGTGTAACTCCATTTTATTGGCTCAAGCCAGCTTGGTTATATGAGTCAGTTGGAAATTATAATTTTGAAATAGACTAATGGAATTTTAATGAAGAAGTCCCTTGTAGAAAAAAGTAGTCTAGGGCCAGCGTGGTTGCTAAAGGTGCTTGCCGAACAAACCTGATGCCCTGAGTTCAATCCCAGAACCCACATAAAGATGGAAGGAAAGAACTGACATTTCAAAATTGTCCTCTAACCTTCACATGAGCCCAAACACATCAAACACATGCATACATCAATAGCAAATAAAATTTTTAAAGAAAAGAAAAACTAATCTAATTCCATCACCGATAGTCTCAGTAAGTGACAAAGATGGGATTCTAACTCAAGTCAGTATATTTTCGGTGATATTTGGGAAGTACTTATAAACAGGGGTTGTAATGCATGAGCTTGTGACACAGAGGAACTGAACATTTTTAACCTACAAAGGGGAAGGATTGGGGACGTTATCATTTTAAATACCCGTAGGACTGGTTTATATGAAAGGGCTTGAATTTACTCACTGGTTAGCTTGAGGAGACCAGGAACACTATGGGTGCAATATAGGGAAGTTTTTTTTACACTTAAGTAGAAGACCAGAGCTTACATATAAGCAGCTAAAATCGGCCAGAACCATTTCTTGAGAAATAGTGAGTTTTCTGCCACTGAGGCATTTCGGGGCAGACAGGAAAATAGTGCAGTATGTTTTGGTCTAACCAGAGCAGTGGAGCAAGGCCTGTGGAGGGGGGAACTGAGGCATGGAAATCATTTGAATGGGGTGACCTTTAGGAGAATATGATTCTTTACAATCTGGAACCAAATAAGGGTTTCATTCTTGCCTCCGAACTCTAAAACCTATCTTCCTATCTGTTTGCAATAGTTTAAATTTTAATCTATTTCATATTTCAGGGTATTATGCCCTGAATATTTGATTTGAATGCTGTGGCAGAAGGTCACTCACATTCATTTATTTTCTTTTACTCTTATACACTGGCAGTGAGTCTTTTGAATCCATTATGCAAACGCACGCAAATAATATGCAAATGCCGTGGCCTCAGAAAATGACAAAATCTTACGGCCTTAACGGAGCCATCAGACCTTTTTTTTAAAGACAGAAAGTAATATGCCTTTTCGGTGTCTCTGGGGTAGGGGACAATTTCCTGGGAGTGATATTTACATGACATTGGAATTGGTGGCTCAGAGCAGGCTTCACTTCACATTCTTTGTGTTTATGTAGGGCTTTAAGGTTAGGGAAGCATTTTCCTACATATCCCATTTGATCCTCATAATTACCCCGAGATGTAAGCAGGGCAGCTCTGGCTTTTCAGATTGAGAAGTTACTCTCTGAAGTGTAGTGTCGAACGTCACTCAGTTGGTAAGCAGTAGACTGGAGGTTTAGTACCAGACCCCCTTGGGTCCATACCATAATGGATGCCTTCTCTGAAGTAAAGCGGCCTGCCATCACCTTTATTGGCTTAGACCACGCTTTTGCAATTGGCATCTTCAGAGGTATGCTTGTTGTCAAGGATGGCATTTCATGAAAATGCCTAGGTACTGAGAGCAGCTGGACTGTAGCCCAAGTGAGATTTTCAGGCCCATTTTCAATTTCTGATGTGGGAGGTCCTTCTGTCTATGTGTTGCTTTTATTGGTTAATGAATAAAGAAGCTGGCTAGGCCTGTGTGATAGGGCAGAGTAGAGCTAAGTGGCGGGGGGGGGACTAAACTGAATGCTGGGAGAAAGAAGGCAGAATCAAGGAGAAGCCATGTAGCCCTGCTGGAGACAGACACCCGAACACATGAGGCTATGTGTATAGCCTCATGGCGATACACAGATTAATGGAGATGTAATTTAAGATATGAGTTACCCAGAAATACACTAGAGTCATTGGACAAGCAGTGTTCAAAATAATATAGTTTCTGTGTGATTATTTCAGGTCTGAGCTGCTAGGCAGCCTGGAAACACACAAGTGGCCTCACATAACAAAGCCTGGCGGTGGTGACACTCGCCTTTGATCCCTGAACTCAGGAGGCAGAGACAGGTGGATCTCTGTGAGTTCGAGGCCAGCCTGGTCTACAGAGTGAGTTCCAGGACAGTCAGGGCTACATAGAGAAACCCTGTCTCGAAGAAAGACAAAGAAGAAGAAAAGATTGACAGGTGAACATTCTCAGTTCTGGGTGCTGTTTAGCTATTTTAGGAGGCTACTTACCCCTTGCCATTGAGAGCAGAAGTGTGTCTCTTCTGTGAGACCACCTGGATCTAGAGCCCCATTGTGCCATGCTCTGGTGGTGTAGTCTTCGAGAGGTCATTTACAGTTTCTGTAACTATAAAATGAGGAGAGAGAGAGAGAGAGAGAGAGAGAGAGAGAGAGAGAGAGAGAGGAACTCTGGGTTGCGGGCTAAGAAAAATGTAATAAGCGGTAGCGACTTTGGCCACTTTATTGATGGCAATGACAGCATGCAGCATCTAAGATCGTTGTGGAGTCTGAACTGGGAACTGGGTCCTTGGAAGCAGAATGGAAGAACAGCAACACCAATTATCTCCCATACATCCGCTGGTTCAAGGATAGAAAAAGGCCTGTGGTAGTCAAGTATTTGCTGAGTAAATACTTGAACATTTCTTCCCCCTGCCGCACCTCGACCATCTCGTAAGAATTACCACCCTTTCAAAGGGTTTTCTCTATTTCTTTTTCTTTTGTCTCTTGCCCCACTCCTCATGTAAACAGGGTTTTCTGTAGCCTGGGCTGGCCTCAAACTTCTTATGACTTAAACGTCTCATCCTCTTGCTTCTATCTCCCTAAAGCTGAAATTAAGGGAGTGTGCCCACAACTGCTTTATGGGTGTTGGGGGGGGGGGGTGGCGGGGGGGGCTGAACTTCGAGTTTCTTACATGCTAAGAAATTACTCTACCAATTGAGGTACAGCCCAAGGCTTCAAAACTATTTCTAAGGGAAAGGGGACCCCCGAGCTGAGGTTCTTGGTCCTGCTGCGTTGGCCAGGCTGCTGTGTCTTTTAAAAAGTTGTTTTGTTTAACTCGAGCCAGGTGTGCGGGCAGAAAGGCAGTTCCACCTGAGCTGTGAAAACAGCAGTCCTAAATCACCTGGGCGAGAGAGAAAGCAATCCCCTTCCATAGGAAGATCAGGAGTGCTCCAGGAAGTAGCTGAGGTTCAAACTAGCAGAGCTGTGGAAACTGTCACCTCCAGTCCGAGTTCCCTGTTTTGCAGCCCTCCCATCTGCTGGAGCCGAGCTCTCCGCCCTGCCAGCATGCTCCAGCACCTCTCCCAGTCACCCCGAAGGACAGCTAGCAAAGTGGTATCCTACATGAAGGCAGATTCCGGCATTTACAGCCTCTCACAGGGAGAGAGACTAGGAGGTCGGGAGGGTGGGCCAAACCCTTGAAATTGGCTTCTGGCCAATGGCAAGCATCACAGTCTCTAAGGGCTATACAACTTGTCCATGCTGGTCAGGAAATGCTCTGGGCCATCCTGGGGCAGGGTTCTCAGTTATTTTTGGCCAACATGGTTGGTATGCAAAAAGAACTTCCCTTTTCTTCTTCTGCAGCGCGGGCCCACAAATGCCGAGCAGTTCACACAGCGTTGCCGCTTAAGATCAACCTTCCGAGTACTTCTCTGCCTGCCAAATTGCCAGGGCGATTAGAGCGTGATTATACGGCTTGGCTCTGAGCATTAGCTAATCCGACCCAGCTGGGCTTGCTCTGGACCTGGGATGGCTCCGGACATCAGCTGCTTCTTTTTAGTGGCGCTCTTTTCAGCCAGCTGTGAAGCCATCGCCTCCTCAGAGCAGATGTGCATTGAGGTGAGTCCAAACCGTGTCTCTACCCAGCTGACACTTGCTCAGAAATTTGAGATACAGCATACAGACTCATGTGAACCTTGGTTTTAAGTCTCTACTGTCCTAATGAGGACAACGGGAGATAGCAACAGGGCTTGGGTGCCAAGAACAGACCCTCTCGATCCTGATACCCAAACCATGAGAGTCAATTGTGCGCCATCCCAGTACATGGCCTCTAGCCACAGAGTCCTTTGGTTTCTTGGCTGCCATAGTGTGGACTAGTAAAGACAGGCTCATTCCAGGCTTCAGAACAGTTAAAGGATCATTCTGAATGAGATTGGCTTTCTCCTCCAGTTGGACACCCGTCCGTCTGTCAGAATAGCCCACAGGAGTAACTGAGAACCAAGCCAACTGCCAACCTTCTGTTTGGAACCTTAACAGTGTTTATCACCCAGTAGGAAGTTGTAGAGAGAATGAAGAGAGAGAGAGAATGGCCTCCGTCATTCTACCTTCCTCCCGCTCTCCTTGACTCTGGCAAGTGGCCAGTCCCACGTGGGCATGCCTGACAAAGGGTACAGACAGGAAAGGATGGCTTGCTAAAACGTTGCTTTCTTACTTTGGGACTGAATGGAGACTATAAGCCAGGGATAGCTAGGGGCAAAAGGAATCTGAGACCACAGTTAGAAGTCAAACCATTGACCTAAAACTCAAGGCTAAGACTTGCCAGATGAGGGTATGAATCAAAGTCAAAGCCAGGACGTGAATGAAGTCTGAAACAGAAAGCTTGTTAGCCATGTATTTGAGTGGATTCAGGCTGTTCGCAGACCAAACAGATACGATACCCAGGAAAAATCAAGGCAGGGATGGAATATTTCCTCAGGCTTCCAGAACCAGTGCTACAGAGTAAGGGAAATTACATAATAGGATTTATTGTTTGCCATTTCTGGAGGCTGGACATCCAGGACTGGGGCTGAGGCAAGGTCGTTTTCCTCTGAGGACTTTCTTCTTGGTTTGTAGATGGCTGTTGCTGTAGGCTGGAGGGTAGTGGCAAGGTCGTTTTCCTCTGAGGACTTTCTTCTCGGCTTGTAGATGGCTGTCTTTATGTGTATCTAGTGTACCATCCCCCATGCTTAGCTGTGTCTAAGTTTCTCTTATGAAGACATTAGTTGTGTTGGACTAGGACCTGCCTAGATTTTCTCATTTTACTATAATCTATTTCAAAAGGCCTCGTCTCCAATTATGGTCACATGAGACACAAGGTCCGGGGAGTTAAGGCTTCAACCTAAGAAGTTCAGGGCTGGGAGAATGGGAGACAACTCAGGCTATAAAAGGACTAAAAGAAGAAAGGGGCTTCATCAGCCCCAGTTTCACCTCATTCAAGTTGGGAAGTTGATTTCACACATCATGTAGATGGCATGAAGGGATTGGGAAGGGGACATCCCCTTCTCAGTGACCAAGCGTGAATGCTAGTCATGTGCTGACAGCATCCCCAGATGGGATAAACCTCCCATTCAATTGCAGTTCCACAAAAGTGGGCTATTTGCAGTGCTCTGTTCTTAAGTGGGGAATTCAGTTCTCAAATCCCTGCACCTAGGGGAAGCCTGTGAACCCTTCTGAGACCACAAGCAGTCCAAAAACCGTCTAACCACCCATGGTGGTCACCAGGCTTCTGAGTTGCCAGTTCCCTTTTGTACATGACCCCTGCTTTGGCAGAGGGAAGAAGGAGGAGAGGCAAAAAGAAAGAAATTGCCTGCGGTAGGCCCTCAGTGCCATGCCTGTCATTCATGGGAGTAGGGCACAGTGTTCCAGGTCGCTAAAGGCCCTGTATGAAGACAGCGAAGACTTCCATTTGGGTTAAACACGTGGTAGTAAAATCCTCTAATACAACGTCCCCACCTCTAGCTCGTGGGTGCCCTCTGACACATGTCTGAATTTAAATAGCCTTGCAACTCATTCCATGAGCATTAGAGTTCTATTGTCTCTTCTCTCCTTTCCTTCTAAGCAGCAGAAGTTGAAAGTTGTTTAATGCATGAATACGATGGGGCCCATGTTCCAGACCTCTGTGCCACGAATGAGGGGGAGCAAGGCTGGTTAGGAGAAACGTGTGCCTTTGTCACGCGTGGTCCTCTCACATTCAAATCACCCTGATTCCACTCAGCCTTCTCCTTGCTTTCTTTCCTTCCTCGCCCCACTTCAAGCATGGTCAGGCACTCGTTGCCTGTCTGTTCCTGTGACCCACCATTGTGAGCTCGTCTTGCCCAGCGTGATAATAATAGTTGTGTTTAGGTTTTTGCCTTCTTTTCAGCTTATTAAATGTTGTTGAAGCAAAACACACATGCAGAAAGTTCCCAGGGCCTTACATAAGCAGTTAATTGCATTTTCACCAATAAACACAGCCCGGTATTCCACATACAACTCAAGGCACAGATGTACTCAGTACCTCAGAAGCCCCCAAGCTTCCTCCAGGCCATTAGTTCCTCGAAGACATCTAGTCTTGTAACTTCTATCATCATGGTTGCTAGTATGCTCTTAAGGAATAACTTTATACAGTAAGGGGCATATCGTAGGAACTCCTTTTGCCTGGCTCCTTTGACTGAAATTAAATTGGTGACACTTTCAGATGACAGGTATGATGGTGGTTTGTTGATTCCTACTGTTCAATGACACACTGTTTGGTGGAAGCCCTCATCATCTATTTATTTCTCTACTCTTAATAGGAAACTGCATTATCTATAATTTTTGGAAGTTATGTATGACACTTGTTTTGAGCTTTCTTGATCATGCCTTTCTTTAGAAAACAAATAAATTTATGTTATATGAGTACCTGAATAGATGTATTTCCCATAGTGTGTGTGTGTGTGTGTGTATCTTGTAAACTTCACAGATTTATAAAACATCACTAATAATTAACAGTCGTTGGCACTGCATGTGATGTTTCATTGCTCCTGAGTCTTGTTAACATTTGATAATAAATGTGAGCCATCATGATGGCTGGGAAGGAGTATTTCATTGGGATTCAATTTTTATTTCTCCGATGAATTATTAAATTGAGAACATGTTCACAGTTGCTTCCATAGTCCTCTCTTCTGGCACTGCTGAGAGCCAAACCCAGCGCCACCCTCCTGCTAGGTAAGCATTCTGACACTCATACACCCCCTGCCCTCTACAACATTTGTGTGAGTGCAGGGTTTAGGTTTTTTGCCCATTTTCTCCTTTGTTGTCTTGATTTGATAGCCAACATATTCTTCTACTCAGACTTCTCTTTCAACTTTCCTGAAGGTATCTTTTGCCAACTTGAAGTTCTTAATATTATTGTAACTTGATTGAACATTTCTTCCCTTAATTTTCAGTACATTTCTGTCCGTTTTAAGAAATCTTTGTTTACCCCAAAGCTATGATGATTATTATCCTACAGTTTCTTCAGGAAGATTCATTGTTTCATATTTCTAAGTTTTAACAGCTCAAAAACTGATATGTATATATATATATATATACATACATACATATACATATATGCATGTTGGGTAGAAGTCAGAACTGATATTTTAATAAATTTTTTTCTTAAGAAAAGTTCCAACCTACACCAAACTCTGAGAACATTATAATAAAAACTCATGACCACTCCACAGAGAATCCTCTGTTGCTAAATGCCCCATGTTCTCTGTATGCGTATAACAAAATTACAACCATGACCAGGCCTTTAGAGACTAGCAAATGTTCAGACGATCTGGAATGCAATGCTCTGTAATTGCTGCTGTTAGAATATTTTCAGTGTACTCTGAAATAGTTCCTTGGACCTGCAGGCTTGCTTCCCCCCCATTTCAAATGGGCTCATCTTAGTCACTCTGTCCACTCAAAACAAGGGTAAGACCAAGCAAGTCCTTCTGTTTCTAGGAATGGGGTGGGCTTTACTTGGCAGTGCCCTCTTTTGAAGAACTCCAGCTTCACAGATGCACTAGCTTCCCAGGACCAGGATGATGGGGAACGAGATGATCCCTGAAGTGGGCACTCCTGCTCAGGGCTAAGGCCCTCTGTCTGGAGACTTCTCAGTGCACACCTGTAGGGTGCGCTTCTTATCACTAAGCTACAGTTGGTAAGAAGGGAGGTCCAGGCAAAACAGTTAATGCTGTTAACTTAGACTTGGAGACCAGCAGGCTATTTCTGCAGAGTAGTGGTTCCCAACCTTCCTTATATTGTGACCCTTTAACACAGTTCCTTGTGTTGTAGTGACCCCCCCATCACAAAATTTTTTTTCGTTGCTACTTCATAACTGTAATGTTGCTATTGTTGTAAATCATAATGTAAATATCCGCTATTAAGGATAGCTGATATGTGACCCCTGTGAAAGGGTCGTTCCACTCCCCATACCCCCATACCTCCACCCTTGCAAAGGGATTGTGACCCACAGGTTGAGAACCACTGCTGTAGAGGACCAGAAAACAAAGGAGGTTTAATTGGAATGTCCTTCACCTGAAGGAGTCAGATTGACAATACAATCTTAGGGATGTGTCGTCCTGAGAGGTTTCATTATTTGTTTTGTTTTCTGAGAGTAATCTTTGCTCTGGAATTCAGCTTACCAACCAAATTGCTCAAGGTGTGATTAAAGGAAGGGGCTGGGGGTGGGGTCAGCGTTTCCTCATGCATGCATGTGTCAAGTGCACTAGACGGCTGAAAGGCTGGAAATAAGCATGCAAGGGAAATTCAAAGGCTTCCAAATTAGAAAAATGTCTCAACGCTTGCAAGAAGAGAAAATACAGTGGGATGGGAGCAGAAACAAAATAACATCCTGATTGAAAAAATGCAAAGGAATACCTGGAGGGAGAGGGGGTTGCAACTAGGAGGGAAACTTGCTCTAGGTAAAGAGGCCCAGCTCTGAGCCAAGCTGAAGACAAAGTAGCTGGCAGGGGTCCCAGTGCACCGCTGGTCCTAAACAAATGCTTCTTGACACAGAGCAGGATGTGTGCAGCACAGGCATCCAAGTGGCTTTGCAGCAGCTCTGCAGGGTGTGTGCAATTGCATGCATC